TGTATAGCAGCTACATAGGTATTACAAACATTCTGAAATGACCTTAAAGTACACTTTAAAGGAGGATATGAGAAGGCAAATACTACACCATTTTATATAAGAGACTGGAGCATCAAGAGGATCCCACAGGGGCTCCTGGAAGCCATTCCCCTTGAATACCAAAGGACAGCTGTATAGTTCTTTCTCTTCTCTGTATGCTTGTTGTTTTTTGATAAAATGCAAACTTTTGGGTGGAGTGCCAACTTACAAGATCACACCAGACTTCAGTGTTCTGGGCCAGGGAGGCCTGTGTGGCTGGTCTTTGCCTTATGCCTTTTTCTGTACCCAGATTCACAGATATGAACATGGGACCTGCTGTAGGGAAGGGATTTGTCCAGGTCCCAGCAGCTGGTGGCAGTGCTGTGGCCGGAGTCTGGTCTAGTCAGGAAGATACTCTAACCTTATTTTTACCTTTCTTTCTGTTTTTGCTGTTGCTGACAGGGCTATGTTAGGCCAAGAGCCCTGTTTTCCTTTCTGTTGAGGGTGGAAAGCAGTAAATCAGACCAAAGACCATACCAGGGCAGAGGATGGCACAGGCAGGGCTCCGAGTCTCCTTGGAGCTCCTGTGGGGACCTCAGACTGACTGTCTCGTGATTACTCTTGGAAGGCAGTCATCAGTCATGACAATCAGAATTTTCCTATCAAAACATTTCATACCGGGGGAGTGGGGATGTGGCTTAGTGGTTAAGAGCTTGCCTAATCCTATGAGGTCCTGCATTCAATCCCCAGCACTGCAAAAAATAAAAATAAAAAATTTCACACCGTGGAGGTGGTTCTCAAACTGGCGTCCCCTGGGCACCAGAGCAAACTTGGAGGTATCCAGTTTTCCAGTGCAGTGGGTCTGCCCTATGGGCCTCCCCGTGCAGTAGCAGCTGGGTGGGGCTGTGGGTCAGTGCAGAATCATGCTGTCATCCTTGTCATGACTGAGCGTCTGGCTGGCTCTTCAGTAATGGTGTGGACCTCACTGCCGCCCACTTCCCTTGGCTTAGGGGTTGCCATGGAAACTGCTGATACCTGCGGCTCATGACCAAGGGAGTCTGGAAACGTTTGTCCTAGAGGACCTGCAGGTGGGCATGGTGGAGCCTAGCATGGCTCCTACACCTCCACGTCTCACGTTCCTGGTTCTTGGGGATCCGTGTTCTGTGTGTTCTGATGTGTTCCTTGTTCCCGTCATTCGACACTTCCCGAGCCGCAGGTTCTGTGCAGGGAGAGTGGTTGCTGGGGACGGCCAGCGCAGCCGAGCTCTGCAGAGTGAGTCACAGCCAGCGCAAGGTCAGCGCGAGGCCAGGGCGCTGGGGGGCGTTGGTGCTTCAGTGGGAGAATGTGGCGTGCGTGACCTGACCTGAGAGTGTGTTCGTGGCCTCGACTCCCTGGCACATGGCCGCATGTGTGCTTAGTGATAGGTACGGGATTGGGGACACTCCTCCAGCTTGCCTGCCTTCCTGTCAGCCTGCCAGTGCCTCCTGCCTTCCCTGTGCCAGGCAGGATGCGAGATGCCCCTCTTCCCTCAGGAAGCTCTTGCGGCAGGGAGAGATGGTTTCCAGACACATTGCCTGGGTTGACCGGCAGTGGACACAGCCCTCTGCTGGAAGCTGGGGCTCCTAGTTTGCAGCTTAGGGAAGCGCTGACCCCTGGGAGCCTCCAATTCCCCATCTGTCTCCAGGGCCTTGCCACCTCCTGTGGCTCTTATCTGCAGAGTTGTTCAGGGCCACGGCTGCTGGGAAAGTTTTGTATTCCCTGGAGACTCTGAGCACTGGCGGGGGCCTCGGGACCCCAGCTCCAGCCCTGGCAGCTGCAGGGAGTCAGTCTGTGGACAGTGGGCAGCGCCTGTCACTCTCTCCTGGGTTGCTCACAATTTCCTCTATAGGGTGAGAATCTGTGTTCCCAACTCTGGGCTCAAGGGGCAGCTGCAGAGCACAAGTGTCGGAGGGACCCTAGCCTTTGTTTAGGAGTCATTTGCTCAACAAGTCGACCTTGGGTGCTCACTGAATGCCAGTCTACAAACACAGCAAAGTCCCTGCCTCTGTGGACCTGATGCCCCAGTCAGGAGATAGCCAGGCTGGGAACGCACAGTGGTGGGCAGGGTGGGGGTCCTGAGGGTTGTTTCAAAGGCTGTATGTAGGCAGGCGTTGTCTCTGAGGTGGCTGCCCGAACAGAGGCCTGAAGGGTGTCAGAGCAGACCCTGCGGATAGCGAGAGGAAGGGTTTGGGCCACTTCCACTTACCAGAGGCCCTGAGGTGGAAGGGGGCAGTTGGCTTTTGAGGAAGGGGGAGTGTGGGGGGGTGGGAGTGGCCTAAAGGTGAGTGCAGATGGGCTTTGTAGCCACAGGACGAGTTAGATTTCTTTTTTTCCTAAATTAACCCAGGGGCGCTTACATTTAGCCATATCCCCAATTCTTTATATTTTTTATTTTGAGACAGGGTCTCGCTAAGTGACTGAGGCTGGTCTTGAAGTTGCTATCCTCCTGCCTTAGCCTCCTGAGTTTCTGGGATTATAGGCAGCAGGAATTTCGATTTTTACTAGGCATGATGAGAAGCCCTTTGAAGTTGCCTGTCGGTGAGACGGTGTGATCGACTCATAAGAATTAATCAGTTGTACTAGGGATCGAATGCTGGGGTGGTCTACTTTTTGTTGTTTCATTTTGAAACAGGGTCTCACTAAGATGATGAGGCTGGCCTCAAACTTGTGATCTTCCTGCCTCAGCCTCCTGAGTCTCTGGGATGATAGGTGTGTGCCACGGGGCCTGTCTTTCTGACTTCCTCTTTGAAGGACCCCTCTGGCTGCTGTGTGGGGAGTGGCCTGGGTAATTATGGGGGTGTAGGTGTCCCGTCATCTTTGCTTCCCAGCACCTCCTCAACTTAGAGACCGGCCGCAGACTGCGCTTCCTCTCTGGGTCCGGCAGTCAGTGTGCTCCTGTGGGGAGACAGTGGGTCAGCTCTGAGGGTGCTTGTCTCCGCTCTCGAAAAATAAGTGGCCTGGGCCATGGGGGAGTTGGAAGACAGCGGTGGCAGGAGGGAGCTGGCCCTTACTTGCTGCTGCCCTTTGGGGGATGCCAGCTGGGGGCTTTCTTGTGCCAGCCTCCGGTCAGGCTCTGAATGTCTGGTGCTTCCTGATCGTTTGGTCCTGAGGCCTCTCAGTCTGGCTTTTTAAAGTTTGACAGAAGGCTCGTGGGCTTAACTGAGCCGCAGACAGGGCTGCTAGACAGACTCGACTAGCACTGAGTAAGTATCAGCTGTTTATGATGCTGAGATATAAACAGGATGCTCTGGGGACGCTCTGAGTTAAATTTGTCCCTGTACGTCAGACATCACCAAGGATAAGGCTGGTTGAGCGCTTGCCCAGCATGCGCGAGGCCCTGGGTTCCATCCCCAGCACTGCACAGAAAGCAAAAGGGTACGTTGGAATGGACTGCAGCCAGGGGGCACCTCTGTTGTTGAGAGGCAAGGACCTGGGCCGGGGGCTAGTTCCCGACAGGTGAGGAGGGCAGAGCCCATGCCCAGAACCCTCCGTGCTCTCGTGGCTGGGCCACCTGTGGTTTCCTGCAGGCCAGGGCTGCTGTGGCGTGAGGGCGGAAGCCAGCTCCGTCGCCTGTGTTGCTGAGGTATGGCCCAGGCATTTCTGACTGAGTTGTGGCGAAGCAGCCACGTGGTCATGGGTGATGGCAGAATGGAAGGACCCAGATTCCAGAGCTGTGACCCCTAACTGGAAGGGACAGACGTGGCTGCCGATGGGTGGGACCTCTCATGCTGGCCTGGGTTGACTCCTTCAGATCCAGCTACCTGCCAGCTGTCCATGCATCTGTCCGGTGCTAGGTTGGTGAGTTGAGGGTCCCCGAGACCACCTCAGATTCAGCTGAGGTCACCCGATTCACCAGGACTTGTAGAACTCAGAAGCCCTCTGCTCAGGATTGAGGTTTATTACAGCAGAAGGTTGAGACTAAAGTCACCAAGGAAGGGCATGGAGGGCAGTGTCAGGAGAAGCCAGGCCTGGGTTTCCAGTTGGCTTCTCCCAGTGGGGTCACAGGGGACAGCACTTGGTTCTCCTGGTGCAGTGTGTGACAGCATGTCAGATGGGCTGTGGGCCCAAGTTCACGAGGGGTGAAGGTGTACTCATGCAGCATTCCCTTTCTCACGTTCAGTACAGAATTCATAATAAATCACATGAGCTACTGGAGTAAAGTAGGCTTGTGTTAGTGACGCAGGAGTCCCGCCTGTCTGAGGGGCAAGGCTGAGCGGGTGACTGGCAGGTGAGGTGTACCAGACACACCTCTGACTCACCAGTCCTCTCAGTTCACAATGGTCTTCTTAGGATGGGGTCGTCTGCATTGCCAGCCAGGGCTGCTCCTAGAGCCTGGGAGCCCAGGGTGTTGCTGGGAGTCAGTCCTGTGAACACGCAGGACCCACACTGGGAAGCTTAGGAGTGTCCAGCACTTAAGAGTCAGACTGATGCAGTGACTCTAAGTCCCCAGGCGAGCAGGGCCGGGGGCCAGCGTGAACTGAGTGTAAGGCCAGGGTCCTGGGCACGCAGAGATGCTGTCAACAGGCAGGAGGTTCTGGGCCTCGGTTATTTCCCAGAAGTCCTTCAAGGGCCAGTGGTGAAGGCCTGCATGCGGAGTTTGGGGCGCTCAGCAGCTAGAGAGGCATTACCATGAAGTGGCCACTTTTTCTTTCGGGTGAAACCAGCCTCAGGGCTGTGTCCTTGTACGGTTAGAGGATGCTGGTGGCTCCGGGAGCCTGTGGCTTCTGTCCTGTGTGCAGCGGGCCCAGTTGCGGCCCCAGCCTTAGCCTGAACTCAGGCAGAGAGTCCATGCTGCAGCCTTCGTGGAGCCTCGCTGAGCAGCCCCCTCTGCCATGGGCGTGAGTCCAGGCCAAGGCCCAGGCCACGGCAGCCAGGTGGGCACTTGGGGGCCTCAGGTGCACCTGCTCCTCCCTGCTGATGTCACCCTTTCTCTCTCCTGACAGTTTTGTGATCAACATGGGGGACTCCGCTGACACCGTCACCGCTGCGCCTGAGGCTGTGGCCGCAGAAGTGTCTCTCTTCAGTGTGACGGACATGATTCTGTTTTCTCTCATCGTGGGTCTGCTTACCTACTGGTTCCTCTTCAGAAAGAAAAAGGAAGAAGTCCCCGAGTTCAACAAAATTTCAACAACGTAAGTGACGCCACTCAGCGTCCCCTTTGTCACTTCTGCTTCCTGGCATTCTCCAGCGCCTCTCAACCTCTAAAGCATCACCCTGCACTTGGGGCCCAGGCTGGCTCAGCCTCTTCCCGAGTATTTGGGGCCCTAGGCCCGCGCCACTCGCTCCGATGGATTTCCCTTTTTAATGATGGAGGCAGGCTTAAGCCTAGAGCCCCAGGGAGTGACAGTGTCAAGCCAACTTGACAAAAGTGGTTTTGTTTATATTTTATTGTTTTGGTTTTTTTCTAACCCTCAACAAAACAACTTTTCCAGAATAAGTAAAAAAAAATGGATTAGTTGAAGAAAAATAGTAAGGAGATGATAGGACAGTGTGTAGACGTGAGCAGGGTGGTGCGGGGAGTGCTGCCTGCACCGGCCTCCAGGGCTGCTTTCCGCAGGCCACACTGGAGCAGCCCTGACTTCCAGGCACTGCAGCATCGTCTTGCATGTCTCCCTGGCTGTGTTGAATCCAGTCTCAGACTCTGAGGCCTGAGCCGGGTTTGAGTGGGGAGCTGACAGGCCAGGTCTGTGCTGAGCACACCCAGGGACACAGCCTTGCCTGGGTCCCCGGGTTTGGCAAGGGGCAGGTCTCAGTGCAGCATCTCAGGGTCCCTCGGCTGACCTGCCCAGGTGTGCGGGCGGGTGAGGTGTGTGGGGGGAGGGGGGAGGTGTGCGGGCAGGGTGAGGTGTGTAGGCCCATCCAGGGCTGGGTCCCTCTTTCAATTCAGGCAGCAGCTGTTTTCTTTTGATGGTGCTGGGGTGGGACCCAGGGCCCCATGCAGGCTCGGCATGTGCTCCGCCAATGCGCTGTGCTGCACCCCATCCCGGGGTGCAGCCTTCCTGCCCAGACAAGTTAGGCGTGCACCACTGTAGATGTGTCTGTAGATCAACTCTGCTGCCACTGATGGGGCGTTTGCTTTACATTTGTAAAACGGTCTTCCCTTCCTCAGTGATTCACTGAGCAGATCGGTATCTACTGAGGCCCTGCCCACGGTGTCCCAGACCCTCGCGAGGTTCGTGGCTGCAGCCATGAATGAAGTAGTCCAGTCCTGTCCTGTCAAGCTTACGCTGTCCTGCTGAGCAAACTCTGGGCAAGACGCTCACCCTATCCAGCCTCCGTTTCCTCACCACTGAGTGCGGCCTGTAACCCTGCTCCTGACGTGCCCAGGGCTGGGCAGCTAGGGAGCTGGCAGACCCAGGCCTGGAGACCGGATTCTGGGAGGGCCTAGAAGAAAGGAATCCCTTCTGGGTAAGGGATAAGGATCACATCCTACAGGATAGTAGCGTGGCACCCAGAGGCTGTGAGGACACTATTGGCGGAGGTCAGAGGCATGAAGGGCAGATGGGCTAGAATCCAGCCTCTCCAGCTGGGGCTGGGTCAGGATGCAATCCTGGTGTGGGACAGAGACAGTGTTTGTGGTGAGAAAGTGTGGGTGTCCTTGGGACAAGGGGACCAGTGTCCAGGCCCTGGCTTCCCACCTGGCCCTCATTTCATTGTCCATAGCTGGAGAGACATGCTGCTGCTCTCTAAGGATGGGGCTGCCTGACTCGGTCCCCAGTACCACCTCCCTGGGCGCTCTTGTTATGTGATTGCTTCTCTCTATTGGATGCTGATCCTGTATTTCCCTGCTCTGGTGAGATTCTCGTCCTGTGCTGTCCTGCAGGTTCTCATCCCTCCTTGTGTCGGGGACCTGCCCCGGCCAGGGCCACAGGGAGGAGTCATTTATGGCTTCCAGGTCAAGTTCTGGGCCCTAACGGTGGGCCACTAAAGTTCAAATCCAGACTGTATCACGGTAGCCATGTGACCTTGCCCAGGTACTTGGTCTTTCTCAGTCTGTGTCCTCGCATGCTGTAAACTGGGGTCATGTGCTTTAGGGTTATGAAAATCAAGTGGGCAAGTGCCTCCTCGAGCCCTTGGCCTGGTTCCTGGCCTGTGGTGCACTCTCAGTTTTCATCCCTATTAGTATCACCTCCAACCTTATGAGAGTGTTCATGGAAGGCATCAGCATCCCATTTTACAAATGAGGAAACGAGGTGCTAGTGATGGAGGAGTTTCCCCTAGGGCACCTAACGTGGAAGGAGCAGATTTGGCCTTTGAACCAAGATCTGCAAACCCCACGGCCCCTTCCCTACTGCTGTGCTGTGCCACCTTCAGTCTGTGGAGCTACCCTTCATCTGCCTAGTTCAGATACGAGTACACTGAGATCAGGAGGTCACTTGGCCGATGCCTTGGGCCTCCTACATAACTAGCATCAATGTCCCTGGCTACTCACACTTCCTTGAGCCACAGACACTTCTGCCCCAGCCCAGGCGAGGGGACTGGTGGGGCTTCGTGCGGGGCATGTGTGTGGCCCTGGCCTGTGTCAGGAATTCTCCCCAGGATTTCTGGTGCTTCTGAAAAGGTTTTTAAAATGCCTTTGACACCTGGGAGGCTCTGTGTGACCATGTGAGACCTTTAGATTTGGATATTTAAAAACCACGCAAACGTGGAGTCTCAGCAGCAAGCACTTTGAGGACATTGAGGCAGAGGACATGTCTGTCATCTCCCCTGCTGCCACCTTGAGCCCTAGAATCTGGGGATTCAGGTGGAGCCTCTGGGTCTCCGGTGACTCTCCCCAGTGTTCTGGCCTCCTTGGCCCTCCCCACCAGCCTAGATGTGGCCTTTGGAACCTTAGGAGCCCAGATGCTCTCTCTGTTGCCACTGACCACGTGGCTGAGGAAGGTCCACCTGTGAACCTCTGGAGCAGCATCCTGGAGCCAGGAGCACCTGCTCTGCTGTCCCAGTCCAGCATCACTTCAGGAGGCCACTTGGGGTTTGCTCTCAGGGGGCTGGGAGAGTAGCCTTTGCCCTTGACACTCCTCATGGGCAGAGGTCCTGCCCTGAGTCATCCTGTGCAGCTGGGTGGAGCGCCGATGGCGTCATTCCCCTGCCTCTGGTCAAGAGAGAGGGCGAGGAACCTGGGACTCATCTGGTCAGACAGACATTTACATCCTTTGTGTCAGAGCCTTGTGACAGGATGGTCCCTGCCTTCCAGTGTTGTGGGAGGGCAGTTCCATGAGCAGATCATCTGGAGTATGTTGGGATCAGAGGTGCAGGGTCAGGCGACCCAGGCGGTGGGGATGGGTTTTTCTGTTTTGTTTTTTTTTTTGTGGTGCTGGGGGTTGAACCCAGGGCCTTGTGCACTCAAGGCAAGCACTCTACCAGCTGAGCTATGTCCCCAGCCCTGGAGATGGATTTTGACTGTGGACGGGGAAGGCTCTGGAGAGGCGGCAATGTGGGAGCTGAGCCTTGGATAGGAAGTAGGGTTTGGGCACCTTCAGTGTATCCTAGGCACAGGTGGGAGGCTCAGGGTGGCTCATCTGGAGGGGTGCATGGTCAGGATGGCAGGGGCTGGGAAGTGGGAGAAGGGCAGTTGGAGGGACACATGGAGCTGACTGCAGAGGGCTGGGGTGAGGACAGAGTTCCATAGAACAGCAGAATGACCTGTGTGGTTTCAGTGACCAGCATAGTGGCCCGCTGGTGCTGCAGGGAGGCAGGTCAGGAGCCATTCCAGGAAGTGGTCGCGTGAGAGGCATTAAGGCCCAGGAGAGGGTCCCTGGGGGGAAGGACAGGGGTCTGGGTGCCGGTGGGCTGCTGGAGCTGGAAGGGCAGGCTGGGCAGGTTTGGGAAGGGGGTCTGAGGGGCAGAATGGGAAGATCTTAGCCCTGGGAGAGAGTGACTGACTAGGCCAGGGATGGAGCCAATCCCAGGTTAAGGAGAGACACCTTCTCCACCCAGGGCCTCCTGGGTGCCAGGGAAGTGCTCCAGCACCAAGTTCCCCATGTTCTAGGTGCACATTCTTTTCCAGATGTGTGCACTGAGGTGTCTTCTCCCCACGCTTCTTGCCCTGTTAGTCTCTTCGGAGCCTTTGGTGATCACAGGTTCTTATTCTTTTCCCCTTGACTTTCAGTGTGAGTTTTAGAGTCAGCTTATTAGTGCCCACCAAAATCCACAAAACTTTTTTAAAAAGCTGCTGGAATTAATTTGTCAGCCTTTTGGTGGCCCCTTAACCTTACGGTTAATGCTTATGTATGGAGTGTAAAAAAATCTCTACAGGACTGGGGTAGAGGGAGTCCAGCCCGTGTGCAGCCCTGTTTGATCCCAGTACTGCAAGAGGAGGAGGAGTCTTATGTAGAAGCCATGAAATGTTCTTTGTGTTTTGTGTTTTATTCTAGAAGATTAGTTATGTTAGGGTTTTTTTTTCTTTTGTTTTTGCAGGGCTGGGGGTAGGACCCCGGTCTCAACACCAGGCAAGTGCTGGGCCCCAGCTTTTACACTCACTTGTGCCATCCAGCTGAGAGCTGAGTACCTAGAGGGGTGTGGCTCTGTGTACTGTCCTAGTATAGGATGGGGGTATGGCCCTTCTCTCCCCACTAGGTGTCAGCGTCACCCTCCACACAAAGCAGGTGGCTGTGGACGGGTCGGTTCTGGACTCCACTGTGTTCCCCTGATCTGCGGGCTGTCCTCTACCAGCCCCACACCTGCTGTTTTCTGTGATTTGTTCAGTGTCTCATCTTGAGCTCTGCTAGGCAAGTTTTCCTGCATCCTACCCTATTGGCCTCCCCCACCATTGCTGCTTAAATTTTAGAATAATTTGTCAATGTCGACCAAAATCAAATTAAAACACTGCTGGGATTTAGCCAGGATCAGATTGAAGGTATCAACTAATTCTTGGCAGTCAGTGTCTCTTTCACGAGCCCAGGTTGATCCCACCCCCGGCTCACTCTGAACTGTTTATAGTAGCAGTTAAAGGCTTGTAAAAAGGACCATTGGGGAGCACAGGTCCTGTAATGGTCCTGGCTCTCATACCTGCTCCCTGCCCAGCCACAGGGCTCAGCTGGCTCCTCTGGAGGGAACCTGAGGACAAGCAGGGTGCTGGTTCCCATAGGAGCCCCACGCCCACCCTGAGCCTGCCCTGCTAGAGCGCCCCTCT